CATTAGCCACTCACATAATTGGGACCAGAATCAAACTCTAAGTACTGTTAAATTAGCATAGTTTTAATATGTAAAATTTCAGAAATAGATGTACCTGGGTTTCCAACAATATACCAACTTATTCAGAGACTGTTTTGTTTACCTTTTAGAATGTTAATTTCATTTCCAGTAATGATCAAGTGATTAAACCAAAATAAAACATGAATGACTAGTGTAGAAAGATATCAGAAATTCAAGCTGTGGTGGCTGCCGTGGGCTATGTGTGCACTGGGAGAAAAGGAGTGCTAGGAAAGAATGGACAGATTCTGGCGTTAACATTTCTTAAAGGCCAGGAAACCATAACCCTACCTTAATAATATCTTGTTTTTCTGGTACTGCACATTGGTGATAGTCTCGGTGACTGGGCAGCTTTTCTACAAACAACCTAGAAAATTAAACAGCGGAATATCTACAATAGCTTTTATGTTGGCAGAAAAATCAGTTTCACATAACTCTTAAATACTGAATTCCAGATGACTTGGAGCAGGTTTCTACACATTCATTTGTTTAAAATAACACTTAAATTCTTGTATAGACTTGTATGGGACACGCAGGATAATGACAGGAGATTATTTTCTACATCTGAATATATTTTGGTTTTCATTAGTAGTTGGGTTGGGTTAAAAAAATGACTAACTAGCAGCCAGCACCTAAAAATAGCCCTCAAAAGCACCCTCCACCCTAGCCAGTGTTAATAAATCCTGCTTCTACTGTCTTTATCTATCCTTAGCTGAAATGCTGAATCTTAAATGGGAAGTCCAGCGCCATTAAAGCAGTTATTTTTACCAGACCAAACTGCACAGCTAACTGCAGTAGTATTAACCTACATCTAAATTATGGCAACACTCAGCTGCGAAGAGTTTGGAATACACAGCTGCTATCATTCTTTCAGCAATTTGTGCAATGTTCACCTCCAGACCCTCTTTTTATAGAAATACATACATTTAAAATTAAGTGGAATGAGAAAGATTTGGTCTAGTTTTCAGAGTACAAGGAAAATAAGAGGAGGGGGGGCAGGAAGGAAGTCCTCTATTATAAAAATTTTAAAATATGCATATAAAAAAAACCCCTTTCAGAAGTAAGAAAACAAACCAATCAATCCTACAGCAAAACTAGGTAGTTAAAAAGTTTAAATCTGCCACTGATATATTTTTCAGCCGGCTATTTTGAGAGTTGTAATGAAAGCTGTCTGGATTTGTTTTTTTCTGGGTGGGGAGAATAATTGCACAATGAACATATATTGTGGATTTTGTATTTACTCCTGTAAGAAGCAATAAATTATACTTAACCCGTTTGGGAAAGAAAAGTAAAAAGAGGCAAAAGCCTTTTTTCATGTTTTTTAAGTGCTGTGCAACACTACCATCTTTAAGACCAGCAGAAGCTCATAGGGCCTAACTATTAAAGGCTCAGAAATCTTATCTAAACATTGCTTTTTAAGCCATGCACTGTATTTAACCAACAGGCTGATAGATACAGAATAATCTGTTGGAAACAGTGCTCATAGTATAGCCTGGTACAGTAAACTTAAACCTCTGTATATAAGGTTAGTTCACGCCTGGCTGTTAATAGATGGATAGTACTACTATACTAACAGCTGAGATGAAATTATAACAAAGCCTGTGGTTAGAGTAAAGACCTCCGAAGAGCAAAGCTGTTCTGCAAGAACACACTAAACATTTTTCTCCTAATCTAAAGGGGTGCCCTGTTTTCACTGCAACTCTTCATTTCAGTTTACTCAGAATTATAAGCTCTAATGACTACAAATGGTTTCTTACGTTATGAACTTATTATAAAAAACAAAAGCATTCTCCAGGTTTCCCTCCTCCATATATACTGATGCCATTCGCTCCATCTCTACTCCAGATCTAAAGTAACGACGTGGAGTGATATCTTCATTGATTGTGATATTGCTGCCAAGTTTGCTTAAGGCACGTACTCTCTCTTCTGGGGTCACAGAGATGTCTGTATGGTCAGGAATAGCTACTAGCTTTTTCTGAAAAAGAACAGAGATTAGAAAAGAGAACCAGATACTATCTTTCACTTTCAGTAACTGATCTCGTTCAAGAAACTCAAGGGAAATCTTCAGCTTTTCTCTCAAAACAGGCATTGGTTTCCCAACAACCAGCCACAGCTGAAACATTCCAACGTGTTTCTCAATTGCAAATAAATTGTGATTGCAATTACAAATAAGAAGTAATCTTATCCCCTCCCCAAATCTTCAAACTACAAAAAAATCCCAGAAAAAAAAATTAAGATAAAATTAAGTAAACCTCTGTAGAAATTATCAAAGGCAACACAAAGTGTGTCCTCTTTAGAATGCCCCACAATTGAAATTCTATAAGGTTCTGCCTTAAGTTATTGAAATAATTCGGTGGACGGCCTGAATACTCAGACTCCTATTACATAGAATCATAGAATCATTAAG